GCGGCCTGGCCCCCACACCCCCTCCCTCCGCCCCTGGCTCCATTCCCACCCCCCCCGGCACGTCACACTTCCCCTCCTGCGGGGCGGCCGGGTAACTTTTTTTTTTTTTTTTTTTTTTTTTGAGAAGCGCCACCCTGCATTGGAGAGATATTTGGCCCACTGCGTACCAGGATTGGATGCAGGAGCTTGCAAGAGATCAAACTCCCCAATAGGTCCTAATCAGCAAGTTACAAGCCCGAGTCCACTCTCGCGATCTTAGCCTCAAATCGAGAAAGCGAGGTTGGCGGTACTGGCAGTTATGTAAGTACGTTTGGATGAAAAGACAACTGGGTATCATGACCTGCCTATTCCTGACATACAATGTACCTGTTGTGCAAGGTAGATCTGTAGAGGCAGCTACATGTCTTGCCGACGCAGCCACGCTCCTCCGCCACCCACTCACACCAAATAAGCCCTGGTCGCTGCTTGTGGAATTATTAGGCTACTACTCCCAACTGCGCAGTGCGCGCACCAGGCCTAGCCCCCATCCAGGTTGCTGCAGGTGGATCGATTGAACCCCATCAATCCCGCGTTTCGCCGTGGTAAAGTCTTCCGTCAGTTTGCGATTCGCGCCCCGGCTGTAAGGTTAGTTAGGTAATTTACCTGTTTGTACGGAGTACCTCTGCCCGCTAGAGGCTGTCCCCTGGCTTCCATCCATCCATGCTGCCTTGACCTAGCTCGTGCTCAGTCCAGCTACCTCGAGAGTCAGGACCCATAAGTTCATGACCCTTAACCCATAACCCGCACCCGCCCTGCTGCTCCTAGCACATAGTGTAAAGTGGTAGGATGCCCCCGGTCTTGAGACCATTTTCGCACGCCCACCACTGTCCACGACCGGCCAACCCAAAACCCACAACCCACGCCGGACTTGTTTTAAAAGAGCCCACCTCCCCCCATGGCCGCGACCCCCCGAATCTTGATCTTTCACTTGAGGTTTTCGGCCTTCTCTTGCCTCCCCGCTGCTTCTGCTCCTTTCCCCAGGTTCACGCCGACCTCAGTCATGCCAGACCTGTTAGAGGATTGCTAGAAGGCCGTCAGCCAGCGCGTCTCACTCGCCCACCCATCCACCCCTCCATCCCACCAGCCAAAGGTACCTTACCTCGTGTACCCGGCTTCTCACAGCAGCTCCCAGTAGCACCAGCAACCATCACTCACACAGCTGAGCTGAGCGGCCCAGCCGGTGCGTGAGGCGAACTCCATTTCGCCCTTCCGATTCCCTGACCTTCCGACCAACTTCCAAACCGTTTGTCTAGTCCTGGCTTAGACAACATCAATTGGAAACAAAATCTCCACTCAATCCAACTTCTTCATTACGCTTTTTTATTTTTTATTTTTACCCCCTTCCTTTGGCCGGCGTTGGCATCAACCGGAGTCTTCAGCATCTTCTGCGCGAGATACCCCAGGAAAATGTTCCTAGAGCTGTAACCGCGTCCTTTGTTAGTTTCAATTCATCAACCAGGAAGCTCCCGCCTGCTTCCACCTTTCTCCCGGCGCACGGTCCCAGGCCTGAAGTTGCGGCACGATTTCAACCGGTTCTGTAACGAACAAACTTCCTACCGAACAGGCCGCCTTCCACCACGAACACTGCCGCCGTCAGAGCCTGATCGCCATGCTCATCAATGGGGAGAAATGGGCTTGCGAAGCCTGTGTGAGAGGGCACCGTGTCAGCAACTGCCAACATGCAAGTGAGTGACATATGCGGCATGCCGCGCCTTCCAATCCCTGTCGCCTCGGCGCTTATGCTTTCTTTTTGTCCCGGTTGCAACCGAGGGGCGGCTTCAGTTACACAGCCCTGCAACCGACCCAAGTGCTGACCATTGTTTCACAGATCGGCCACTCCAACACATCAACAAGAAGGGTCGGCCGGCGTCGCAATGCCAGCACTGCCGCGCCATGCGCAAGGCGCGCTCTGCCCACACCAAGTGCAGCTGCGGGGAGAAGACACACAAGTGCGCGCACATGAAGGCCAGCGTTGAAGGCCACAAGGGTGAGCGTTGCCGCTTCATGCTGATCAAGGTCGCGCAAATCTGACTCATGCTTGTCTTCTACCTGCAGAGAGTTGCTGTTGCAACCATGGCGGTCGTTGTACCTGCGCACATAAGAAGGAAGTCCTGCAACTTACCCCGGTTCCCGAATCCGACTCCGACGACAAGGACAATGCGCCGACGGCGAAGGGCCCCAGGGGAGGAGTCGGTAGTAGGAGACGCGCAAACACTGTCCAGCTGGACGGGGTACTTGCCTTCGACGACCACGGCCACCACAAGCCGACGCACAAGCACGCCAAGGCCTCGCTGAAATGCGGGCCCTACCAGTTGGACCGCGCGAACTCGGCGCATGTTGCCGGCACCCTGGGCCGCCGCTCTGTCGATAGCGATAGCCCGGGCGATTCTGGATCCACCGACTCGCCTGTCGGCACCAGTGGGTCTCCTCGGGACCAGTGCCAAGCCGACTCGGAAGAGGCATCGCCGTTGATGACGGGCTCGTCCAGCTTTGCGGACCTGAACGGCCGGCTACCACCGCTCGATCTATCGGGGATTGAATATCCCCCCTATATGTCCAACGGCTACGATAACCTTTTCGGCAGTCTGTCGGACCACGAGCCCCCGATGTTCAGTGCGGGACTCAGTGCGACCCCGGTTGACTGGAGCCACTATGATGGGCTTGAGTTTGCCAGCAGAGCGGCCGACTTTGCGCCTTCGAACTACAGCCAGCCCCAAAGCTATGGTACCTTTGACCTGAATGGTTCCGAACAGCCGACTCTGACCACGAATACATCGACGTCCGGAGAGGTGTCAGAAATTGAGGACTTCCTTCCGAACAATATCGAGGACTTTGACGATGCCGGGTTTGGCACCAGCACCACCAGCAGCAGCTTCAACCTTGCCCAGATGCACGGCAATCTTCTGTCAAGCGCCGACCTCACGCCACTGTCGTACAACGACTTCAAGCTGTTGAAGGCCGGGAACAAGTTCCTGCCCACCCCAGCATCCCTTGCGGGCGAAGAACCTGTCTTGGCTGCGACCACCTCTGGCGGGATTGCCAACTACCAGCTTGTCGACGATGACACGGCTCTCTGGATGAGCGACTACGCGCATGGACTTCCAGGGTTGCCGAATTTGACCGACTCTCCAGATCCGAACTTGCCCAACTTCTGGGAGGCTCAATGACCAGGAATAACGCGCGCGCCTTGGCCGAGATCCAACCGCTTGCAACGGCTGGGGCAGCAGAGATTCTGGACAAGCCCGAGACATTTACCTTCGTATATATGATCGGTTGACATTGGTTATCTATTCATTTTTGATTTCATTCTTGTTTCATTTCCTCACCCACTGGGATTTTTCTTATTCTTCAGGTTTCTCTAGTCGGAGCTGGTGGACGGATCCAACGCGGGATGGTCATGAAGGTTTCTCTAGGCGCTGGAGGGCTTGGATATGAAAATTACGATATCATCTCTGTTTTCACCCCTGCATACTATGGTCATTGCCTCGTTCTCTGGCATCCCTGGTCATCATCCAAGATATAGGGTTTGGCGTCATCCAAAAAGCGAATTTAAGCGGCCCATTTTCAGAGTTTATATCTCTCCCTTCCCCTTTCTTTCCGTCTTTCTCCGTTTCTTTACCCCAGGAGAGTACACGACCCCCTTCAGTTCTGCTACATAGAGGTGTTTTCATTTCACAGAAGGGTAGATGGGAGGAGTTTCGGCATGGGAGTATAGGGCATTAGTAGGGGGTGGCTAGATGGAGTACTGTACTTGGAGCTATCAGAAAACAAACTACCTAGCTAGAAACCTACAGATGACTCAAGTATCTGTATTCTGCAATCGAGACAAGAGCTAAAGATACCTGCCATCTGAGGCGTCCATATCCTAAACGCCAGGCGGCACTCGAGTCGGGCCTGTCCAGTAATAGGGCCGGTGATTCCTCTGTGTTTTCGGCCGCATTTCTTTTGTGCGATTGGTGACTGGGCAATCTTGGGTGCTTCCAATAGCCACCGTACTAACTAGTAGTACCGATGAGAAGACCGATGACCATGCTAGCCAATGTGGGCCGGGGGGCCCGCCGACCTGCATCCCACTTGAGTCGTTCCTGCATGATTCCCCATCGACGAAACAGTCCGAGGAAAAGTAATGGCCGGCCCGCTGAAAGCTTTCCAAGCTTCAAATTCGTAATTTGACACGCTCACGCGCTATGCCCCTTCCACCATCTCCGGCACGCCCGGGAATCGGGGAGGGGGCGGCAAACAGTCAGATTTCCAACCGCCGAGTTCCCCTACCCTACTGTATCTAACGCTTGGCAAAATGAAGCCCCTTCTTTCTCCTCGGTCGTTCTTTTTTGGGGAGGATTGCCGCCTTGAAAGTCACCACCCCCCCACTCTCGACTTCCCTGCATGCCATAACTGCATGGCTGCGCTGGCAGGCGGCCCCGATATTTTGGCAGTTCTCGCCCCACCTGTCGCTGACCGGGGCTTCCCGGCGAGAGACAGATGGGTAACTGGATATTGTTATTTCCCCATTGCCCCCAAGATGTGGAGCCTCCTTCGCAACCCTCGTGTCGAAGGGCGGCATGCCGAAAGGAGCGGTGACGCACGCGCGTACGGCGGCTTCGATAAGCGGGGAGAGCGAGAGTGAGCGAAGGGAGGGGCGCATAAAATGGTTTCGCTTAATTGCCTATTGTCGCGCAAGCGGCGCAACTGGTCCTGCTTTGCTTTTTGCATGCTCTGTGCTTTCGGCGGCGACCTAACCGAGATACAATGGGATTTGCGGATTCGGGATACAGGGCCGCCACAGGAGAATATCCGGAATGGGGAGGGGGGGTGAGGCGCCTGGGCGAGCTGAGGCTGGCTAATGGGCTGGGAGGGAACGGAGGCTGAGCATAGCTGCTACGGCTCGTCCTCAACTTACTGTGTATTCAAATGTCACTTGCCGGGTTGAACCTTGACTCTGGATTCCCTGATTTGGAGATTTTGGACCCTACTGGGTGGGTATTATCCCTTGAGAAATACAGGCTACCTTTCAATCGCCTCATGAGATGAACGACCCATGCATCCCGCGCTCAGAGGTCACTGCGCCGCACGTGCCCCTACCGCTGTTAACACCTGACAGTCGATGCTCAACGGCTTGCTCCCTGGGCCGTTCGTCCTCACGCGGATACCTTTTTTCCCCCTTCTTTTTCTTTTCAACCACAGCCGCTCTAGCCATCGCTTGCTTCCGTTATATCTGAGAAGCGGCTGGAATAGAAGAAATATCACAAAAACGATCAGACCCCATTTTTTTTTTCTCTCTCTAGTTCCCGGCTACGCACTAGCCCTCCGACTTGCGGAGCCGACGATCCCTCGAGCGAGTTCGGCGCTCAACAACTCCTCTCTCTTTGAAACGGCAGCTTTTCACGTCTTCACATCACTCCTCTCACATCTCGGGATCTCGGAACTGAGGGAGCGGTGAAGAAACAGACCAGGGACTTGGCAAGAAACTCGATACTCTTTGATGCAGGCTACCGACAAGTGTCAGATTTGCGTTCCTGCGAACTCCCCACCTCCATGCCCCTTTCCCAGTGAGAGAAATCCTCCCAATAAGCCAAGCACATCTATCGGCTTACAGGGAGGGAGGTATCCTCAATACCCAAGCCAAACACACAAGCCAAAAGGCTTCCAACCCATTCTGCCTCCAAAGACCAACGGGGGTATAATATAGTACATGAGACTTCGCGGTTATCGTATAACAATGTTACAACAAATATTAGGAAAGCAGCTAAAATTGTCGGACGCCATGTAAGATGCATGCAAAGGTTCGTTCAAGTTGGCCAGCTTAGGGCGCCGAAAGAGCGAAAGCGTTGAGGTAGCCGGCTTGCAGCATCGGCCGGGGATCAAAACCGGCGTTCTCGTAGTTATCCGTCGTCCTGTAGACGACCACAGGCTCTTCCGTCTTCTCGGTCGTCGCGGTGGCGAGGTCCGCAAGGTGCTGCAGGCCCAGACTATCAAGGCCGGAGCTGGTCGACGGGCGGAGCTTGTCTGCGATCTTATCGCGAATCGCGTCGTCCCAAGGCCCTGGCGCGATGCTCGTCTCCAGCATCTCCTTGAGTAGCTTGTTGGCTTCGTCGCGGGTTTTGTCAACCTTGCTGAGCTCTAGCAGCGATAGCACCGTGAGGCTCTTGAAATGAGGATTCAGCGGGCTTGAAAATTGGGGGTGTGCGGTCAGCAAACCGACCACTTCCGTGGCTGCCGACAGGATATCCGTGGACAGAGCGGCCGGGGAGAAGAGGTAAGCAAGCAGGCGGCAATGCCAGTACGCTAGATGAACCAATGGGTGGCTGCTGGGAGTGATGCTGGAGGGGAAGTTCACTCTGAAGCCCTCCAATGCCAGGTTCATCCAAGAGCCAATCACCGGCCCTACACCAGAACCCAGCTCCTTTGGAGGCGCGAGAGACATGGGAACGAAGTGGCCAAGGAAGTTAGACAAGTCTGTATATAGGTTAGCTTTCGTTGTTACGGAGGCAGGAGGAAGCAGAGGAGGAAAGGAGGTTTTAGGAGAAAAAGGGGGGATGCAATGGGGGGGATGCCGCTTACGGATCAATGAGTATCCACCTTCGCCCACAATGAGCCTCAGTCCTGGGGGGACAACGACAGTGTCGTTTGAAATCATAGTCGGAGTCGCCGTTCCTATGGCATTCCAGCGGTCGAGAATGACAAGCATCCACCAAGCTCTCACAGCCACCTTGTCGTCGGTATCGACGTCTAGCTCTAACTCAGGGTCCGAGTCTACTTTGGCATGATGCAGACCCATGGAGTACGCAAGGCCAATGGCTCGCCCGAGGATGGAGGCCTTTGACGGACCGCCTTCAAGCCCCATCACCGACGCAGGACCATGGCTGTCAGCCTCGATAGCCATGAGAACAAGGGTTTGGAGATGGATGAGATCAGTTGCAGTCGTGCGTGACCTGCTCTCCCCTTCCCAATCAGCTAAGAGGCGATTAGCTGTACGAATGTCACCAACGTGTCCGGTTGGCGTCGCTCGAGGTTGCTGGACAAGTGCATAGAAGGCCTCCAAAAATGCCTCTCGGAGGAGGACAGGGCACGACGCGAGGAGAGCATGCACTCGATGTCTGTCTGATGCCAACACTGGGAAGGCCTGGTCAACAGTCCCGAGGTAACTGGAGCTCAACAGTCAGATTTTCTGCTTTTGCCAGGCAGAGAGATAGGTAGATATGACTTACACGTCGAAGGCTCCTTCATCAATTCCGCGTACCTGCTCGAGCTGAGACGCATCTGCAATAGCATCATCTACCTTTGGTTCATCGCCCTTAGGACCAATAACCTCAGGCGGCGCAAGGCTATTATTGGCTGGGTACACTGTTCGAAAGCCTGGCGATTGGTAGGGCTGGATCGGCCGAGGGTCTGCGCCCCATGCAGCATGTCGAGAAGCGGTTGGAGTCGAGAAGGAGTCGCCAGAAATGTTGGAGAATGGTCGCTTCCGGCTCTCATCCAGGGGCATCGGCGACGAGAAAGCCTCGGCAGAAGCTCTCGAAACGGTGTCAAGTCCATCTCCACCAGCACCCAATTTCCCTTCGATGCTGTGGATCCTGTCGGCCAGCTCTTTGATGTATCTGTGGACTTGATGTTAGTCTGGGTTACTACTCACAATGGGCCTATGCGGCCAGTTGAGACTCACCCCTTGCTAGGCCCCCTCTTCTGCGGGATGCGACTGAAAAGACATCGGCTGGCCGAGCGGCGACAGTTGGAACAAGGTTCCTCTGCGGCTTCCGAGACAGCATCACATTTGATCTTCTTCCGTCGGCACTCGTCACAGGCTCGCGACACCTTCGACCTCTTCCGGGGAGGTATATTACTCTCGGGTATCTGATACTGCTGTCCCATATGGTCGAGAAGATGTGAAGGTGGTGGAGGGATAGATGCATAATGGAGGCTTTGGTCCATTCGTGTCATGACGTTCTGCAGGTTGTTATCATTGTTCTGCAGGTGGTTCTGGAGGTTGCTATCATTGTTCTGCAAGTGGTTCTGTAGCTGATCCTGGAGATTCGAGTCGGAATGAGACGCCTCCTGGTAATCGGGTTCCTGGCCATGCATGTCTGCTTCTTGTGCCTGCATTTGTCCCTCCTGGGCTTGATTATGGGCTGCCATTATAGGCGCGAGACCTTGGGTCAACTGTGCGGCGAGCTGAAGTTCTTCTGCGCTGACAGACGGACGGGATTGGTGACGATGAGGCGTGTCATGATCTTGAGGGTCTTGCGGCTCTTGGCCGTCATGATGCTCTTCTGATACCAGCTGTTGATCTAGATCTTGCTTCATCGAATGGGTATGATAGTATGGGCCGGCATCTCCATTATCAACCGATGGGGACGGATAGCCCTGTTGCATCATTGCATCCTCGGGCTCGCCAGTATTCCTCTTCCCCTCCATTGTGTGTCACAGTGTCACAGCTCACTAGGTGGGGTGGCTCGACTTGGTCCTCGATCGAGGTTGGCGGCTTCGCAATTATGTGCAAGGACTCGAACTGGGGCGCGCGAGGGGAGGTAGCAGGGCTCCGGGAAGATGCTCTGCTACCTAGGCAACAGCTCGTGCGAAGCAGTGGCCTACCTATCGGAAATGCCGATTTCGAGGTTGAGGCTGTCTCAGTGAGGCGCGACTCCGCGAGGCTCTCTGGTCACGACGCGCGCAAGTGACCTCGGCCCGGTTCGACAAGAACAACTACAATCACGATTTTCGAGTCTCGACCATATTTTGTAGGAAGCAGCGAGTATGGACAAGGGATCGGTACGAGAGACGGCTGGCTTGACAGCGCAATGCTCCTGGGCTTCGACGCGACAACATTAGTAAAACTAAGCGATTATCAATTGATATGGCTATAGGAGAGAGAGCCTTGTTGTTGTTTTTTACAAGGTGGGAAAGCATTGTCAAAGGTATGCGACGCGATCGATAGCAAAACACGCTGTATTCTAACGGGGTCGCGTGGTTCTGCAAACATGGAAAATGAACCTTCAAAACGCACCTGGACTACTTTTTGACGATATCTCCGACTGGTTATGATCGCTGGGCGGCAACTGGGTTTGCGGAATAGGAGAAACCACGAGCTCCGATGGATGGGGGGAACTGCCAGAGTTTTGACCGTGCTCGAGTCCGCCCTGGGTTGCAAATCTGGCTTTGGGAGCGGAATATTTCACCCGTGGCAGGGATGGGAAAATTTTTTGCACTTATAATGAAGCGTCAGCTTGACGAATCGGATGCGAGGAAATTGAGGAGGGTGAAGGAGCGGGAAAAAGAATAGCCCGTTCCCCCGGTCTGTGCGCATGGAATCGGGCAACTCCCAGGTCCTGGTGACCCACATAGAGCTCACCACAGCTGGACTCTTCACCTTCAAATATCCAGAACAGACACCACTGGGTTGCAATGGGGTGAGAAGTGCTAACTGGTATCTTCATCTGGTCATATAAATGCTCTAGTCTGAACAACAGCCCAAAGATATGTCTGGTCATGCAGGCCCCTAATTGTGCAAGGCAGCTTTCGCGAGTCCAGCCCGAGTATCTCTATCTGTTCCATTATATTTCGCCAGAGCTGATACTATGTACATACAAGACGACCCCGATGGTCTCGCTTGCAATGCTTGCCTGTACGAAGTCCACCCGGAAAGGGAATAATCAACGAAGTTGAGGGCAAAAAGCCTGACATCAACACTTCTCTATGGCGGCCGGCTATCGGATGAACGTGGGGGTTATCAATGTCATAATGAAACTCTGTGTGAGTTCCTGGTTTATCGGTATGGTTGTGATCTCGCCTGGGCAGTCCCATGTGATGGGACCAAAATATGCCATGCCAATTTAACCGGAATGCAGGCTGTATGTGTGTGTGTAAGGAGCAAGTCCTTCTCAATCTAGCCCTTCCTCCTCATCCGAATGACGAGATTCATGGACACCTGGAAGAGCCTTCTCGCCTTCGCCAATCCAGGGCGGATGGTGGATGGTGGATTGCGAACTTGCCATCACAATGCGCATCTGTGGTTAAATATCCCGGTGGCCTTTAGCCGCTGCCCCTGTGGGTTCCCCGAGAGCTCTCAGCGATATCTGAGAAGGAGCCCAAGGGTGCCATGGATCACTCTGGTACTCCCAGACCGGGTGCTGTGGTCGAGACCACAATGGAGGTAGTCCTCCCGAGCTGCCCCTGCAACAACGGAGAATTTTCGAACCCCTTAAACAGAGATACCCTGTCAATATCTGGCCGTTCTCTCGATTTACCATAGATCTCGCTGTTTTGGACAAGCTCCCCACGACTGTTTCATGTCGTTTAACCAGGGGTCAGAAGGTGCGATCCCCACCGTCAATAATACCGAGCCCAATAAGACCACAAGGGCAATAAGTTGACCCTGCCGAGCCGCAGGTCAATGGCATCCGGGTTCGACTGTGAGGGCATGATAACCAAATGGCCTCCCCCTTCCCCGTCCTCGTTCCCACACAAGGAATTGTCGTAAGGGTGCCTTAACGGACGAGAGTGGGGTGTCGTTGTGGCTGGTTTCTACAATGCAGCTAGCATTTACTCCTGCCTCGAGCGTTGGCGGTGATGATTTATACGTAGTAGGGTCATAGGCACTCCAAGATCCGGACGTAGAGAGGCCACATGACCAACCACTACTCTTGGGGTTCTTTGAGTAAAGCGGAGAGCATCACAAGATAATTTCGCAACAAGAGCACTCGAACAGCAGCCGAGAAAGGGGCATCGTCGATATGCTTTCGGCTGGAGACAGGACACGCGAGGGTGGGGAGACTGCCAAGGGCGCGTCCACGAACCTCTCCAAACACATACATACGTACGTACGTACAATCATGAGAACAACAAACCCATCAAAGCCAGGTCGCCCACCCTGGAGACGTCGTCATCCCCCGGCCTCACTCGACCTCCTCCGAGGCAAATTCTGTACACAAGACGCGCCCGTCTCGGGCTTGCCTCTCCTTCCCTGGACCGGGCAAGAGTAACCACCACTGGAAATAGAAGCGACCGAAAGGGTATATAAACGATACGTATGTTCAACAATTGGGTATTTCGCCCCCTGTCCTCCAAACGATCAAAACTCGAGGCGATGCACATGGCTCCGCCTCCGGGATTAAAATGTGAATATTTCTGCCACCGGCCCCGTTGCCGGAAATGGCTTGCTATAGAAAGAAAAAAAGGTGTGAAAAAGCAATCGAAGGTTTTGAGAAGAATGCCTCAACTGCCCAAGCGCCGTAGGAAGGAAGAAGAAAGGCATTGATGTTCGTGCTGCCCAGGGTTGCCGGCAACGACCTGCCTGAGTCGTGGGTTTAGATTAGGCCGTGTCCGCATACCCCGTTGGCTCAATGGTCTGTGAAATGTCCGTGATGGAGTTGAGAATGCGAAGATTATGATCCCTCATGTCCTTGTCGAGAGACATCAGCTGATCGACGGCAAGCTGGGATTTAGCTATCTAAGGAGACAGTGCAATGTTAGCCACTGTATCTTGTTGACCTTGGACGGGACAGACTGGACGGGCGATGGGCAGGTGACTTCGGCGGCGGACAGGAAAGAGGGGGAAGGGGAGTGGGGATGCTGCATCAAGCAAGGGCGCTCGCACCAAAGCCAATGCCGCTGAAGAATTATCCGGCTCATTCTCACCTTCGGCCGCGGGTTCATCCTTACCAGCGGTCTCGGTGGTCTCATCGTCGCCATCATCTGTGGTCCCGTTGGCGGCTTTGCTAGCTGCCGGGCCCTTGGTCTACGAAGTGTCGCTAGTCAGCGGAACGCTCATACGCATCATGTGGGTACGTTGGGGACGGGGCTTACTCTGGCCTCGGCGATCTCAGCATCCTTGACCTTCAGCTGGGCGGCCAGCTCTGCAATCTTTGATTCAAACTCGGCGACCTTTTTCTCGGCGTCGGCCAACTTCTCCTCTGCGTCGCTAGCCTTAGTCTGGGCCTCCTCGATCAGCTGCGTCATGCTATCATGCATGTCCTTGTAATCGGCTTCGGATGTCTTCTGCCTGGCCGTGGCCTCTTGCTTGTGGGCCTCGAACTCCTTCTGCAGCATCGCAAGGTCTGCCTTGATTGACTCGAGTTCCTCGGTGGCCTTGCCCGAACTCTCCTTTGCTTCGGCGAGCGCCTTCTCGTTGGACGCAGTGAGGGCAGCCAGTTGTTCCTTCAGAGCGTCTGCCTCTGAGGTATCGGGCTTCGCATTCTTCGCCGCGTCGAGCTCGGCTTGGGCGGTGAACTTCTCCATCTTTTCATGTGCGAGTTGCTGGCCAAGTCCATCTGTCTCTTCCTGAGCCTTGACGAGCTCGGCAGACAGGGCCTCGACCGCCTTGGCGTGTTCGGTCTTCAAGGCCTCGACCTGTGCCTCAACGTCGGCAGCACCTTGTTTCCTCAAGTCATCAATCACCTCAGCGTGTTGCGTGAAGAGCTTCTCCACCTCGGCCGAATGTGCTGTCTTCAAGGCCTCCAGCTGTGCCTCAATACCGGCAGCACCTTCCTTCCTCAAGTCATCAATCACCTCAGCGTGTTGTGCGAAGAGCTTCTCCACCTCGTCCGAATGTGCTGCCTCCAAGTCCGTCTTGGCCTTCTCCAGAGCCGCGGCGTGGCTGGTTTCTGCCTGTTCCAACTTGGCCTTCGCCGCATCCAGATCAGCCTGCAGGCCTCTGGCAGCCTCGAGCTCCGCGGTCAGCTTCTCAAGCTCTTCGGCGTGCTTAGCGGCCAGTTCAGTCTTCAGGCTCTCCAATTGCGCGGCGTGCTCCTCGTGTCCGGCTGATGTGGCACCGGCCAGTGCTTCGGCATGCTTGGCGCTCAGCTCGTGCTTGAGCTCTTCCAGCTTCTCCGCAAGCGCGCTCTCGCTGGCGGACTTGGCAGCCGCGAGTTCCTCGCTATGCTTGGCGGCCAACTCGTTCCTGAGATCCTCCAGTCGTGCAGCCAGGCCCTCGTCACCCGCAGATTTGGCTGCGGCAAGCTCCTCTGCATGGGCAGCCAGTAGGCGCTCCGCTTCCGATCCGCTCTCCTTCTTCAAGACGTCAATGGCCTCGGCATGACTTGCCCTCAGGGCCTCCAGCTCAGCCGCCAAACTGGCCTCGCTCTCACTCTTGAGAATCTCAACTTGCTTCGCATGATTCGCCTTCAAGGTCTCCAGCTCCTCAAGAACAGTCTCTTGTTCCTGCCTGGCACTGCTCTTGGCGCCTTCAATCTCTTCGGCATGGCTGGCGCGGAGGGCATCGAGAGTCTTTTGATGATCCGCTTCCTTGGCTTCCAGCGCCTTCACAGCGGCATCGTGCTCGGACTTGGCAACTTCGAGGGCCTTGGAATGGGCCTCGGTGTCTTCCTCGTGGGCTTTCGTCAGCTTATTGTGCTCAGACTCGAGGACCTCGAATTTCCGCTTGAAGAATGCATCACCGCGAAGGCTCTCGATCTCATTTTCGTAATCCTGGCTGACCTGCTTCAGGCTCTCATCGTGCTTCGCGACAGCAGACTCCAGCTTGGCAATGGCAGCGTCCTTGGCGTCGATAGTCGCCTGCAGGTCCGAGAGAGTCGCTGCGGCCTTCGCGGCCTCTTCCTTCGCAGCCGTAAGTTCTGCAGTGAGATCGGCGACCTTGGCCTCCAGGGCGGCGACCTCTGCCGACTTCTCCTCCAGCGCTGACTGGCCGGTCTCTGCGGCCTTCACGGCATCGTCCAGCCTCGTCTTGAGCTCGGTAACCGCCGTTTCCAGAGCCGACACCGCATCCAAGTTCGCCTCCTTCTCGCTGGCCAGCTTGCTCTCGTGCGCGGCTTCCAGTGCCGCCTGCGTCGCAGTCAGATCCTCAATCTTTTTCTGCAAGTCCGCAGTGGCACCTTCATGGGAGGTCTTGAGATCTGCCAGTTCCTTCTCGTGCGCAACATGGGCCTCGACATTGTCGTTCTGAAGGCCCTCGGCATGCTTGGCCTCCAGGGCATCGATGGCCGCCTGATGTTGCTCCGTAAGGCTGGTTTGCAGCGCCTCAAGTTCCGCGGCATGCTCCTCGGTCGCCTTGGATAGATTTGCGTCGTTCTCACTTAGCTTTGCGGCATGCTCGGCCTGTAGAGCCTCGAGGTTCTCCTTGAGCTTCGCGATCTCAGCCTCAGTTGCCTCCTTCGATCCCGTGAGGTCAGCGAACGAGGCTTTCTGGGCGGCTAGGTCGGCTTCGGCTTGCTCCAGTTTCTCCTGCGCGTCAGCAACTTGTCCCTTCAGCGTCTCGAGCTCGGAGGCGTGCTGGGCTTTCAGGCTTTCAAGGAGGTCTGAATGCTCCTTCATCGGCGATACGTCGGCGTCAGGATGGGTGGCTTCCCCGGTGCTTAGCTTCGATTGCAGATTTGCAATCTTGGCCTCGCTAGATGCGAGCTTCTTCTTCAATTCCTCAACCTCCTTTGCCGCTTCAGCTTTGCCAGTGCTAGACGCCAACGAGGGACGGGAAGCATGTCTCGCCGTTGTAGAGCCCGAGGGAGTCGAAGTAGTAGCAATATTTGAGAGACGCTTCTTCGCCTCGGCAACGGCCCCAGTAGCGCCTGTTCTAGTAGCGGTGCGGGTCGTGCCGGCTGGCCCCGTGCTCGTGGGACTCGTGGAACTCGTGGACTTGGCGAGGGTGGGAGTCGATTTTGGCGCTGCGGTGCTGCTAGTGGAAGAAGCAGGCTTTCGAGCAGCGGCGGTGGTAGATGCAGTAGTACCAACGGCCCTTGCCCTCCCTGGAGATGAGGTGGTGCTAGGAGCCGTCGAGGTCCGCCGCGCTGTGCTCGACGCGCTGGAAGCTGGCGTACGCTTCTTCTCATCCTCAGACACCGATGGCTGGCTGCGATGCGATGTTGTTGAGGCCGACGTGGGGGGCCGCCTAGAGACCGTGGAGCCCGGTGGCGGCCGGGTTGGCGGCTTGCTCAGTCCACCGCCTGTACGGGTGGCGGAGCTCGCTGGTGTTGGCTTGGTCCCGGTGGTACCGGCTGTTGCGGTTCCCCGACGAGCAGGAACCGCCGACGTGGTCGGGGGCCGCTTCGTGGCACTGGTGCTTGAGGGGGAAGGCTTCGAGGGGGAAGGCTTCGAGGGGGGAGGCTTCGAGGGGGGAGGCTTCGAGGGGGGAGGCTTCGAAGGGGATGATTTCGTGGGGGAAGGCTTCGAAGGGGATGATTTCGTGGGAGAAGGCTTCGAGGCGCTAGTCGGAGCGGCAGGCTCGGGAGCAGGAGCGGGAGCTTCCTCGCGTTGGATAACCTCGGAGGCTACGGTGTCCGACATGTTGGGCTATGCGAGTATACGAGTTCAAGTCCTTTGATGGTGTCGAAAAGTATCAGATCCACTGGGTGGATGAAGCGGAACTTAAGATTGCCCAGGTTAGTACGCGAAGCCTTGGGGTAACGCGAGATGGCGCGAGCCAAGGGAAAGGCGATAATGGCAAGCGCGTTTTAAGAGAGCACCACAGAACACGGTTGGCTTATTCGAGATGAGATGATACAAAGGTCTTAGAAGAGGTTCGAGGTCAGAGAAGCTGCCATTCATGTTCACTCACCTTGCGCGATCTCCTTTTTTCCGTCGTTGACCGCCACGAAATTAGGCGCCGCACGAGCTAGGCACGCGGCAATTGAACACAAAATGCGACCTGTAAGGCAATTCCGTGAATGGTAATGGAGAACTGGTAGCAGCAGATTTGTCCTCCTAGACCTCCACGTCGATAGCTGTGAATGGTAAGGAAACGTTGACGATGAGAAGAACCAGTCAGTTCAACGAGGGGATAAGGGGAGGGAAAAAAGAGGTCACCGGTTTCCCCCCTAATTACTGGATGGATGCGCTGCAAGCTATTGGGCCCGCAGCTAAATACCTACCTAGATAAGAGGACAGGGGTTGGGGTTGGTCAATATCGCCACGTTGCCCACTTGCACCACCATAGGGCAACCGTTATTGTCAAACTCGGCATAATACAGCAAGCCTACTTCCCTGCTTTACGAATTCTCGTGTGTATCTGCAGTGATCTCAGCAGCCTTCAAGTGCGATGCTGAGCGGATATTCCCGTGTTCACAACTGCATGCAATGCAGAAGGGACATTAGCCAGTATGGAAGCAATTTTGGTAGGTATAAGTAGTGTCACCAGATAGGGCTAGTCAAGATAATTCTGTTTCCAGCTATATTCTTTTTTCCTTCAATAGGACATCTGGGGCTGAAGATATATGTTTCAGACTTGGAGGTAATTTAAGAGCACCAGACCCAGTGCTCCAATTAGCATCCATAGATAGCTTAAATGTTTCCTCACACCTGCTTTAAATCCCCTACATTGCAGAGTATGCAGTTGGGAAGAAAAGGGTAGCTGGTAGCACGTTAGGTGTGCCATCTGGAAGCTAAGCTCGGTCTTCATAGACATCATAGCTCCTAGGTACCTACCTAAGGTAGCTTCCATATTTGTGGGCACCTCGGTACATCCCTTACCTCTAATTAATATGGTACTGTGCAAAAGTTTTACCCCCTGTCAGGTATTGAAAGGCGCACTAAATCTACCAGGGATACCTTACCCACTGGGCAAACTTACCCATTATACCACAGTAGTGGGCCAGTGGCGTCGTTCAATAACACGGCTGCTAAGGCCAATGCCATCGCATCGGCGGTCGTCATCCCAGGAGAAGATCAGTGTCAGGTTATTCGGTGGAAAAAGCTTGAATTGTCTAACTGGGCCGTTTCGGCCGAGGTCTAAATCTACTGGTACGGTACATACCGTTGTCTGTAGATCCTTGAGGGAAACCACGTGACAGTTTGCCAGGCTCCCAGAGAACTGCAACGTCCTCGTTGCATATGCAAGCGTAAATGCTATCGCATGTGCAAGTAAACTAAACTGATGCAAGCGTAAATGCTATCGCGTATGTAAGTAAACTAAACTGATGCAAGCGTAAATGCTATCGCGTATGCAAGACGCCAAAACGCGTAAACTGGTATAAACAAACAACTTCCGTTGTCAAAGGTCCTACTAGTTCCAGTTCAGCGACAGAATAATATTGAGTATTTTTGGGTCTGTAATGCTGCCAACGCAGACCTTAGCCAGAACAGGTGTGGCGTAGAGCTTGCCGCCTCGCATGACTGGCTTAGTAAAGACGACGTTTCCTTTGCCGCAGGCAGCGGTTATAAAACCATTATCGACAGTAATGTTGTTGCCATGTGGGTGTTTGAGAGTTCTAAGGATTTCGTCAAGCTTGGCCTAGGCTTTGTCTGCTTTATTGGCAATAGTAGCCAACATGATAGAGCTTTGGTCTCGTTCTTCGTTAGAGTCAAATAGGTCAGCCAGTCCCAGTCTAAGTTTGTTGTCTATCAGTTTAGGTTGAAGAACAGGCTAGAGAATTGGTGCTAGGTTGGCAGCATTGTTGTATTGTTAGGCAAAGAGATATTGACGATATTCTATAGGCATAGAGGCAATGTGTTGCTGTGCAAGAATTTGTTCTTATTCCTTGGGGGTTTTAGAATTAGGGTCCCACATAAGGATATGTTGGAAACGAAACCTAGGGTAGTCCCGTTGTCCGTCGACATTGACAGCATTCTGTAGTCTAACAGACGCTAGGAAGCCTTTGACGCTTGTCGGCAACTTAGGCTAGCTAGCTAGGCAGTAGGCCTTGAACATGGCTGCAATTGCAATCAGGTTGCGATTGACAAAGAGGAGGAAAGGCACTTTGTTATTGTCAGTGTGCAGGAAGAGGTATTAGTCTAAGAAACAGTCAAGCTCTATAATCTCGAACTTAAGGTTGCGTCATGCGTAGTGGTTAGCCTTGTCTTAAGCATACAAGTTGCCATAAGACAGGTAGTTGACAACAGCGTCATAATCAAGGCTCTAGTTAAATATCTAGAAATCTTTGGCAAATTGCCTAGCTGCAGTGAGATTCTCTAGCCTAAGAGGTTTTAAAGCCATGTCGTCAGGTTTGTAAAGTAGCTTTCAAGTTTGCTTCAGATTTGCAGTTGACTTCTTTATTCTAGCGTTAGATAAAGGCTGGCAGCAACTATTCCGTCGTTTGCCACTTGTTATATTCAAGTCCCAAGTCCTAATACGCTACAAGGTATCTAGATGGCAGGTTCTGTTGTGATTTGCAGGTAACAATGTGCAACAGAAGGTAATCTGAATTTCAGACTAGTAGGATTGAAGGGAGTGATTGTCTATAGGAGTCAAAAATGGCAGGTTTTAGGTGGTTTGCGCTAATCACGTCGTGAATTTTCCAATGCTAGGGAAGGTGCAGCTAGTATGCAGCTTGGCTAATTTGTTCTGTGATTGGAAATAGTCTAGCAAATTGTTGTGACTATTTAAGGCTATCAATAGCTGTTGTTAGTATGCTATAGCCTTGATAAAGGCAAAGCCACACCCATTGTCTCACCTAGAAGAACTTAGTAGTTTGGCGCCTGTCATAGAATGCTTTGGTTGTGTAAGCTGCAATGCTAAAGGCGTTGTGAAATTGGATTCTAGATTGAGGTAGGTTCTTGTCAACTGTAAAGATCCTTCCTGCCAATAGATCTGTAATGTTGTTTTGAGTAAAGCCTTTGATAACTTTGTTAGGCGCTTTTCCTGCTATCGTCTTCGCATTGTTGTATTCAAATTGCAATTAGGGCAAAGTCGTAAGCTATTTCACCCTATCCTCAAAAGCTTGTATGTAATATTGCAAGGCTAATTTGATAGTCTAGTTTATGCACTTGCTTTGTCTGTCTACTAAAAGGTAGTATACTGTTGTGTAAAGTAAGGTAATTCCTAGCTCTTGCTATATAGCTCTCTACATAGCAGACAGAAATTTTGGGTTATAGTCTGTCAGCATAATCTTAGAAAGTCCCTAGTTAGCAAGCAGCAGTCTGTCTAACAGTGTCTAGCCCCATTTCTCTGCCGTCTAGGTTTTCTTGCCTAGCATGACAATAATTTCCTTAGAGAATTTGTCTGTCCTTGTAAAGGCTGCGTCAAATCCTTCTATTGACAACAGAAAGGCTAGAATAAAGTCAAGGGTGATTATATAGTATAGACATAGCAGAGCCAACAGTAGCTAGAGGTTGCTGTATAGTTTATGCTATAGTTTGTCGTTTGCTTAGCACTTAAGGCATGTTTAGACATAATCTCTAACTATGCATGTCACGCGATTAATGCAGTAATGCATTAAAGCGCTGCAAAGCCTATTCTGCCTATAGTAGTTGTTGTCATGAACAGCTTTAAGGATAGCCAGTATACATGTTTGAGAGACGCAAAGCTATAGAAAGTTAATGTCTGTGATTTTCTAGAAAAGTCTATCCTATAGTTAAAACAAGAAGTCTGCTGCATTGTAGGTAAGATTAAGGTTTTTCTTGACAACAGTAAATACATAGGCCTAGGCAAAGTCTTGCAGGTAGCCATCTTGCATTTGCTTGCGGAAATCAAGTAACATCTCTATCATAGCTATGCCTGTCAATAGCGCTGTTGAGACTGTAGGGTTTGGCAGTGCTATAATACAAGGCAAAGGCGTCATCATTAGCTATCCATTCATCGCCTAGTGTTCCTCTGTATTGTAAGGAAGGTTGTCAAGTTCTCTAGGTGCCTCTAGAAGCATGTTGTTATTATAGGTAGGAAGGCGTGATAATGCGTCTAAGACAATGTGATACTTCCTAGACTTATAGATAATGTAGAAGTCTAGGAATATGCTAATATACTCTATAGCGCAAACAAGCCGCTTGTTGTCGCTTACTATTATTAAGTTCGTAATATTTGTTTGCTTGGATAGACCAAGGATTGCGCAGTGATTTGTAAACACGTATACTAAAGAAACATGCGTCTCTTGTATCTACTAGCGCACTTTGCGCAATACCTATACAAAACCAAGTACTTCCAGCTCTATCAACTAGTATTTCTTCTCAGCAATAGACAACGTCTAAGAAAGAAATGCAATTAGCTATATTGCTGTTTGCAAGAGGTATGTACTTAGCTTCCTGTCATTGCCTATCAGCTTAGGCAACATTTTACTGTCAATGTGGTATATCTCAGCGCCAATGCCAAGTCCCAAAACATCCACATTGATACAAAGTAGTCATATGTTGTTAAAGTAGACTAGTATTTTGTAGTTAGTCAATGCCTTCTTGACAGCTTTAAATGCAGCCTATTCTTCCTATGTTAGCAAAAGCAATAGCATTGCTAACAACCAAGACTTCTATTTGCCTGCTTTCACCTGCTAGTTGACTTTCAACAACGTGGCTTTTTAAGCTTCAAGCAAGGCTATCAAAATGCTATATAGCAAGACATTATGGTGTAAATAGCTAGTAGCGCCGATGAAGTAGTCTAAGTCTTTAAGTGTCTAGGGAAACTTGAGGCTTTTAATAGCGGCAAGACATTCTGCTATTGTCAACATGCCAAACGCATCAACTATGCAGCTCAACACTACCACGTTTAAAAAACCAGTAAAGGATTTAGACAGTCCTATAGATATGTTATAGCGCTAGAAGATGTCTAGCAAATCTTTAATTGTGTTGATGTAATCTTCAAAAGTCTAAAAGCTAGTTACAATATTGTCGCAGTACAAGTCAACGCTAGTGTTGCAAAAAAGGTTGTCCATCTTGCATTAGACATAGGCGTTGGAGTTTTTAAAGCCTATAATTGCGCAGTTAAATATATACTGTCTGTCAGAGGTGACAATTG